GTTGACCAGGCCTAGTTCTACATAAATACCTGAATATCTTAACCATGGTTCCTTCAAAGTTGCATCTTCATTCAATAGTGAATGAATCTCAGCCAGTAGCTTTGGCCTCCCTATTGAGTCTACATACTTACACAGGGTACTTCAGCTGTGGTCTTTTTGATATTCGATTAATACATCCTTTATATCCAAAGGTATTTGAATAGTAAGTATCATCTGTTCTCACGTTTTTCAGGAACGAAGTGGTTCTAGTGTACCTTCCATCTTGAATCGTATGGTAACCAAAATGATACCCCCAACGTACAACCGTGTCAACAAATTCACCTCAGGGTATCAGGCTATTATTGATGCATATGGTGTTGCCGATTACAGAGAAGTCAACCCTAGTAAGATGTCTAATCTTTATTTTAGAGAATTTGGCATTTGAAATTGAGGATCAGACTACTTAAAGCGCTCTTAGTTATTGAGACATGTTGAAACAAAATAGTTTAATAAGTCACAACTAGGTATATTTTGCATGTCTCAGGATTCATGAAAACCATGTAGACCTGTGATCTCCCCTGTGTGCGCTTATGGCCTTCAAAATAGTATAGAAGTTTTGGTTTTTAAAATTGGGTGACCTCAAAATTATAAAGCACTGGATTTATTGATTGTCATTATATAGGCTGATGTGCTAGTGCTGTAGTGAATGTGTATAGATATGACTACAATATTCACGTTTTATGTGCTTCTAATAGAGCAAATACAATATTTATGATTGATTTTAATATTCTCCTTCTTCCACTACCTCATAACCACATGTAACAGACATTATAGCATGCATAAAATGACTTGATTTTCTTTTTGTAGCTCCCTACACCATCATTACATTTCCTTTTCTGTTTGCTGTGATGTTTGGTGATGCTGGTCATGCTTTTATTATGGCAATATTTGGTATATGGATGGTGGTCAATGAAAAGAAACTGGCTGAACCAGCAAAAGAAAGTGAGGTAGGTCGTTTTTCATTCCTGTTGTTGATTTTTGAACGTCATACTTTCCTGCCAAAATTTTGATGCAAATCTATCAAATGGACATAATGTACCGCAAAAAACTCTGGAATTTCAACCACTTTTGGGTGCCTGTGTTTTGGGGTTGGTTGCTGTAGCTTTGCGTTCTCCTAAATTTCGACAAAGTCCGGGAATGGAAGTTTTTTGCTACTCTTAAAAATTCAACCAAACTTTCATAACCCAAAATTCTTGGTAATTCGCACCAACCCTGTCAGATTACGAGTTTCTGTACTCCTGTACTCGTCGAGTGTGAGCTAGATCAGGTTTGCTTGGACCACATAATTTGCATGAACTAAAATAACATTTACGTCACATGTATTTATTGTTATCTCTATGAAATTTATTATTTAATAAAAAAACATTACAGTTTGTATTTGCTTTTAAAAAGGTTGATCCAAAATAAAACCGAACGCAACGTTTTTGCCAGTCATTGAGAAAAACAATTTGCATATAAAACAAAGGACAGCTCCCATTGCGTGAATCCGGTTATTCCGTGATTCTAAAAATTCAGACTTTCAAAAAAAATAAAAATTATTTAAAGCTGCTCGAAATTTAAGAGTTTTTATGGTGCTATTGTTTACAAGGTTTGATCAAGATGGCTAAAAAAATTATGAAACATATTGTATGAGTTTTGTTTAAATTAACTCTACTGGTATTCTAAATTAACTGATTACTAGTGATTAAACTGAAACTGTCAACTCTTTACAATTGTATGCATCATTCTTTGCATTACAGCACATTAAAGACAATTAGCTCAATGTCACTGGTTTGCATGTATCTAAATTGCAAAGAGAAATCTGTATAATTATTGTTTTCAAAATTAGATGTCTTTATGGAGAAAATATTTCACGATCTATAAAATAATATTTGCATATTTACAGGGGAAAAAGATGGGGTGCCTTGGTGGCATCTTGCTGGTCTTTCCTTGTTCTGGGTGCTTATTTCAATTCAGATCATCTGTATCTAATTCATTCAGCATACATTAGCCTAGTTTATCACCATATTGTGAATTTCCTACCAAGAAATAGTGGGGGAATCCTCTGAATTGGTGTGAACCATGCAACTGCACACTCTGAATGAGACGCTAAATAACCTGTAAGAAAT